CCTCTGCATAGCCTGCCCTGGACATGATTGTCTGTGGCTGTCCCACTCCGGTGAGCACTACTGCATCTGCCTCTGGCTTGTTAAACACTTTGATGCTTTCTGTGGCTCTACAAGATCCTGAAAAGTGAACACAAAGAGCATATACTTCTATCTGAAGAAAAAAAAATGTTTGGATAGCAACAGCCCATATTAGTCTAGAAGCTTTTGAAATCCATCTAATACTTAACTGGCACTTGAAAATCTGCCATCCTTTTGTTTGGCTCCATTGAGGTGCCCCTGTCTGCAATTTTACCTCGCTGTCCACTTGTGCAACTGCAGTAAGATGAGACCGAACATGTAATTTCTATGTTTCTGAGAGAACTGTTGCACACCTGTTCATCAGACAGCCGGAGTTCTGCCTGAGACTCCACTTAAATCATGCTAAGGTTTGTGAATTTTCTGTTTGATCCTATTTAACAATGATTCTTGTGCTGCTCTTCTTCACAATGCTGTTTGACCAGTTTGTTGACATTCCTGTCAGGGAGGTAAGAAAGTTTTTGGTTATGTCCTTTCAGTATTGGATTGAGAAAAAAGTACTGTAGCATTCCGTGATTTTGGTTTTGAATGTTGGTTCCTGTGAAACTCTGACATTGCCAAACAGCCTTTTTTTATTTCTTTGTTTGCAAACAAATTCTCCATGGAAAGAAAAGACAATAGATACACTAGATGTGTCAGGAAATTCCTTTGTTATACAGATGACAGCCTAGTTCTATCTTTAGCCTTGTATTCTGGTGTTGCAAGGTCCAGCCCTCTCTTTATGAGGATATGTATGACCTGGAGGAAGAGCTTTCATAGCAAAAAGTTTGCTGTTTCCACTCTGCAGCTGTGTCAGTTGATTGACTCAAAGGTATTACTTCGCCTTACAAGCCTTGCCTTTCTGAGTGAAGGAAGAAAGTTGCCAAAAGCTAGATATAAATAACGTGCTGGTTGTCCAGTGGAAACTGTACATGTGTATGCTTTGTAAGCGTAAAGTAATGTATCCCTGCGTGAAAGTGGGGTAAACTGATGCGCAATACTGCAGGTTAAGAGAGCTCACTTAACAGTTACTGCGAGGCAGTAAACATACTGTAAATCTACACCCTGGTTTCTCATGGTCATTTTGGATATGACTACAAGACTATCAAAGCGGATATTCACAGTGTAGTACAGTGTGTCTCCCTGTGTTATGAGCTGGCTGGTATAACCTTTCTGAACATCCAGTCTTCCTTCAGTGTTAGTGATATCTTCCACTGCTTTGAATGTGCCAGAAATCTGTAAGGCAGCTTTTGCGATATATAGAGCACAAGGTTCCTCTCCGTTCCCAGGGTACAAATACTCTTCCAAGTGACCAATGCCTCAGGAACCTGGAGGCTTGTTGGAATTTTTACTGCAGGTGCTTGCAGGAACATCTGACCTGAGGGCTAGTAAAACCTGTTCTCCTTTGCCATGCATACAACTCCATGGCCGCCTCTGTCATACATTGCAAATCATCTCTGGTGTCTAATCCTCATTCTTTTCTCTTCCCAGGACAGTGTAAGTGATCCCCTGAAATTGCTCTGAGCTCTGACAGGCAAGAAGCTGGTGGCAAAAGGAGAGGGGTTTGTCTAGTGGAGTCTGGAAGTTAATCAGATTTTTAACCCTTAGGTCTGATAGGAGCTGTGGCTTTCACAATTCTCTGATTTCTTGGCGCTTAGGGTCTCCTGTTACAATAACTCTTGTCAACTTCACAGATTTGTTTGAGAAGTTTACTTGGTTTACTTATTTATTAAAATTATATGTAATTAATGAGGCCACCTTTGGGGTTCCATCTCTTGTGTCTCTTGTGTCTCACAAACATACTTTTCAAGCTGTTATTGAATCCTCTGCAATTTTTATCTTCTTTTAACTCAGAGTTAAAATCAGAATTAGCAAGATAGCTCTGTTCCCTGTCTGTGCCAGCATCTCCATCATTCTCTTCAAAGTTTGATGTGTTGCTGTCCTTTTGGGCTTCCAACTTGCCCTTCTCTGAATGCATAAACCCAACTACTGTTTTCACCATCCTGGATCAGACTAAATAAATTGTACTTTCTCAAGCTGTGGCCAGTATCAGACGCTTTATGGGAAGATGCCTGGTACGCTATTTTTCTTTTACCAAAGTATAGACCCTCCTAATCCAGAGCATGTATTTTCTAAGCAGATGAATGTTCTCCCAGGATACATGCACATACCCAGTCCTTTTTCTTTTGGTTTGGTAGTCTCTTGGACTTACTGGTATTGTGTCAGTGAGCAAAAGCTAGACAACAGGGTTTGTCTCTTGTTTCAAGCCTGTCTCTTTCCATTCCCTTGCAGTTAATGTTAAATGTTTTGATCATTTCAGCATCCTTCTGCAAGCTTAAATACACCTCCACTGCTTGCCTTCCCTTCTGCTGCTTGAGTCAGGTTCTGGATGTCGTTCTTCAAGCTTCTGCATTCATCCATAAGATCTCAGCTGAGCTTTCCTCCTTCCTCCCTACCATCCAGTCTGCTCTCATTGCCTCTTTTGCATATATTGTCCACTCTTGATTCTGTGTTATTCCTTAGTGTCTGTCCTTATCTAAAAATGTGTTGATTCTACAAAACAAAGCCATTAAAGCTTTATGCAGTTCTCCTGGGTTGTTCTGTACTCTTGTATGTGCATCGAGACTGTAAGTTCAAGGCTGGGACATTGTTTGCCTGATGTTCTTCACCTAGCAAGCTGTGTACGCTCACTGTGCTCATACATTAAAGTGCGTTAAGGGCCTCATGTGACAACTGTTGCAAATGTGCTGTACTGTGCTTGCAGGGAGGCTTGAGCCTGTAAGCTATACAGGCCCAAGAGTTCTCAAAGCTCCAGGCAAATCAGGTCCAGAGACTTCCTTAAAGGCCTTTTTATATGTGTGTCATAGTTGTAGAAAAGAGAGGGACTATAATGTTGTGGTAGAAGAGATGGGAAGCAGAATAGCACAGAGTGGGTGGACTGCCTTTTAAGCACTTAAAGCCAGGTGAGAAATGTGGCTGGAAGCCATTGATCACTTTCTGTAGTGTCTTTGCCTAATCCTAGCTTACTTAATGCCACGTAAAACTTAATTTGTGGGGTTTGGGTCTTAGTTACGTGATTAAAATGGCAGTCTGAGAGGAGAGAATCCTGCCATGATATCAACTTTCCACTGAGTTACTTAAAAAGCTAGATTTTTTTTTTTTTTTTTTTAATCCTGTGTTGGGTCATCATTTTAATATGAGAAATAGTAAATATTTCTCATCGTAAGAACAAATTTCCTTTTATAGTATCCACATGCTGCTGTTTTTACTGAATCCAGAATAGAGCTATTCCTATTTCTAATTGTTCACTCACACTTAGCAGTTCTTGCACGTTCATGCACGCTCTCTCTCTGCTTTTTTAGCCTTGTTGATCTATTTTGTGACTTTGGCAAGACGACACCAGCTTTCAGCATTTAATGGGCTGTGAGCAGCTACTTCCTCTGCCTGTGAGACCATGATGTCATCAGCTACTTCGGGTTGCTTGACCATCCGCTGCTGCTGTTGCTTTGGTGTATGTGGAAAGAATGTAAACAGCACTTTCCAGATGTTCTCAGGGCAGCTGGAGAGCCATAAATGGACTGTTTGGTTCAGGCATATTACTAATCTATTTAGGAGATGGCAGTGAATAGAGTCATAAAAACATATAGCTCCAGTGTATATCCTGTGCAGCATGCTCTGTCATCACAGTGGGTTGTTGGAACAGTTAAGTGATTACATAGCTCGTTCAGGACTTGAGCTGGGTAGGTGAACTATCTTTATAGCTGCTCTCTTTTCC